CTCGTCCGTTCGAGTTCTTTCCAGTTGCTCCTCCGGAACCCGTGAATTCATACAAATCATTCTTTTTGCTGCCGGTCATTCCGGATTTCCATCTTCCACCAAAAAGATACATCTTGTTCTCGCCAGGGATCCACACTGCACTCGCGCCTGTGAGGGCGATGGGTGCAGAACCAGTGGGAGTGAGCTCTTGCCAAGAGTCGCTGGAAGCTGTGGTGGACATGATGGACGTCGCTGCAGCGCATGCTTGGGTAGTCGTGAACGACGTGATTGTCAGCTCGTGAATGTCGCTCTTGCGAACACCGCCGCTATCCATGCCGAGCAGAATCAACATGCTGTTGATATCAGTCCACACTGCAACATGTTGGCCACGCGCGGGCGGTGAGTCGCTGGGAGACAGTTCTTGCCATGAGTCAGCCTGGCTGTCGTAAATGAAAACGTCGTTGAGGATGACGGAAGAGTCAATCGAGTTGAACCCCGCAAATACGTACATGAGACCCTGGTCAGCGCTCCAAACCGCGCTGTGTGATTGCCGCGCAACTGGAGGTTGCCAGGCATTGCTTTGGACATCATAGCTGTGCCGCTCGTTCACCACAGCGGAAAAGTCAATTGTCTCTCCAGCGAACACGTACATCTTGCTCTCGCAGGGGCTCCACACAGATGAGGCGAGCACGACCCCAGTAGGCGCGGAACCACTTGGCGACAGCTCTTGCCATGAGTTGCTGTTGGCATCGTAGCAGTGCAGGTCATTCAGCCCCACGCTGGTTGTCCTGCCGCCAAACACGTACATCTTGTTCTCATCTGGGCTCCAAACTGCAGTAGCATCGCTGCGTGCGGTGGGTGCAGAACCGCCGGGGCTAAGCTGTGTCCATGAAGTCTCATCAAAATAATGCAGCTCGTTTTGGCGGATGTTGTTGTGTCCAGAACCGCCAAAAATGTACATCTTTCTGTCGCTGGGGCTCCAAACACCGACAGGACCACTGCGCTCCGCAGGTGCAGATCCACTTGGGAAGAGTTGCTGCCACGAGCCTCCTCCGGAACCCGTGAATTCATACAAATCATTCTTTTTGCTGCCGGTCATTCCGGATTTCCATCTTCCACCAAAAAGATACATCTTGTTCTCGCCAGGGATCCACACTGCACTCGCGCCTGTGAGGGCGATGGGTGCAGAACCAGTGGGGGGTGAGCTCTTGCCATGAGTCAGCTTGGTTCATGGGAAGATTGACAAAGCAGAGGACAGCAATCGCCCAAGAATACATTGCGCTCGGCCAGGATCACTGGGAAGACGAAACCTGAAAATCCATGCGCAAAGAATGCGTGCGAGGTGCTCTGCAGGCCTTGGTTGCTGCGAGATTGATGCTGGTAATTAGTGCTTCCAGGCTTCGAGAGTCATGTTGCTCAAAGAGTCGGATGTCAAACCTTCTGCATGCAGCCCCAGCAGGGAATCTTTGAAGCTTGAGTCTGAAGCCGCTCAGAGCCGGGTTTTCGGCAATTTCATCAACAGCAAGCCTATGTCAACACGCCTCCGTCGCCTGGGTCCTGAGGGGGCTTGGTCTTAATAACGAAAATGCGAGTACCTGCGTAGCTCTTCACTCAACGCAACGGGTTGGCGACCCCTTCTCCACAAAACCTCAGAACTGTCAAATTGGCACAGGCCCTGTTCCTCCAGAGCCCCATGTAGCCCAGGAGTGCTGGGCATTTACTATAGCTTCATCAACAGTCCGACAAAAATACCCGATATCCGGAATCGAAAGCGATGCAAGACTCGAGGCTACTCGAATTAGTTTGGCTGGATGCCATGGACAGTGTGCACACTGTGCTCAAATCTTCATACCACCATAAAACATGTATTGAGAGATGCACATACTCCAAGGCCAATGGTTCTTCCTTCTCACCTTAAACGTATGGGGCACGTCTTACAGCATCCAGGAAGCTTCGAATCGATCCACTAGAGGACCCACAGAAGTGGATTCCGACTTGTGTGTGCAGAATATTTGCATGGCTGAGTCCTTTCAGATCACACGCCCCCACATCCACCACACGCACGCGCACACAAATTCGGACAGATGAGGTTTGTCAACTTCCTTCTCAGGACAATCAAAGTTCCCACTCCACCACTCCTCTGATTCTTCAACATACGCCATCATTAGACAAAACATGTACAATCGTCACTTGACCGACCCAGTCATTTCACGTTGCTGGGGGCATGGCAGCTATTTGGCCACGCAGATCATCCTAACATGTCCCAGCGCCTGCAAGGCATAAAGGAGAGTTCTGCTTCGCACAGCACAGACACGTTGAAAAATCCTGAAGAACTTCTACTTCTGCAAATCCCCCGTCGTCGGCCAAGCTTTGTGCCAGCTCCCGAGGGTTCAAACTCTAGCAGCTTTCATGTGGGAGCTGCAGCAACACCTAGGACCCAGAGTTGTTCTGCTGAGGGTCAGCAACTTGCTACGTCACGGATCCGCAAAACAAAACAGCGGGAGGAAACCCGGTCTGCTGGCACATCCATGCCGCATCGTTCATGCTGCTTGGCAGCGCCAGTGTATCCAGCGACATTTCACGGCACTCACGTCGGCGGCCTTCAGAAAACAGGCACACTGTGCTGCTTGTCACTTCTTGTGCCTGTATGCGTGCGCTTTTTCACGAGTGTCGCTCGCAACAAGCTGAGGCTCAAGCTCCGGGTGCGGAGACGGCACCATTTGGTGCCTCTTCCTAGGAAGCAGTGTTTTAAGAACAGGAGTCAGGAATGGCTGGACTGCGCCACAGCACCCGACTGCCAAAGAACCATGGCAATCCGCATCAGGAGGTAGATGATCATGAACAGCCTGTTGCATTGGCCGTTGTACTATGACTACTACTGCTACTACTACTACTACTACTACTACTACTACCACTACGACTACCACCTACCACTACCACTACCACTACCACTACCACTACCACTACCACTACCACTACCACTACCACTACCACTACCACTACCACTACCACCACCACTACTACCACTACCACTACCACTAC